TGGACGGAAGTGGACGGAACGAGGCACGGGATATGATGCTGGCACAAGCCTTATTATATAATAACGTCAACGTGTACAGGAAATGACGTAAAAGACGTAACGTCAGTAGCATCAGCTCCATGGTGGTCACGTCGCCGCTTCCACTATAAGTGCAGCCTGTCATTACGAAATAAGGTAAGAAAAGGCGATTTGAATCACAACAAGCTAATAAAAATGTCGGTTCAACGTACTGAATATGTTTTCCGTACGTCGGATGGTAGCTCGAATTCGGAATTCAGTTAAAAAAAGAGCGGGAGATGACCGTTGTTGTAGCGGTCATATATTAGTTTTAAGAATACATAGAGCCTATGACTGGCGATTCTTTTTACTGATTTTGGGCGTTTGGCTCGTGGTGTGAGAATTGCACACAGGGGCGGAGTATATCTGAACTGCTAACCGGGAGACTGTTGTAATTTAGTGGAATAAAATGTTTCATTGTCGGAGTTGAGGCATACTTACCTGGTACAGAGGCTACCGTAGTATCTGTTACTTTTGCGGTAAACTTTATTTTCAAAAAGATGGACATCATTGTCGACTGCCCTGCTTTGGTAACTGGTATTTTTGACGATGATGTACTTAAGCGTACTTTGAAACTACAAAACGTCTCAGCCTATGGAAGTGTGATCTTAAACGATGCGGTAGAATGCTTGCAGATCCTAGAGATTCCGCCGAGTGCTGTGGAGTTATTTTCCCGTGGGCAAGGAGATAAAGAGGTGAGTGTTGTTTATAACTCTCCTTCTTTTCTTAATGAAGTCAATACAGTCGAACCTCTTATCGTCAGACAGAAACGCATTTTGTTGTTCAAAGGCAATTCGCAGATCGTCAATGTTAGAGTGCACTGGCTACCCGTCTTCATCCCAAATCCGACAGTTGAGGCCATTTTCCGACCTTTCGGGAAAGTCTTGACTGTCGAATATGACCGGATGAAGGTCGGATCCGGGACCTTCAAGTCCGGGGTCCGCTTGGTGAAAATGGAAGTGACAGAGATTGAGCGTAACAAGTTGCCACATTTACTTCGATTTGAGTGTGGCAACAAAGCCCTAGTAACTGTGGCTGGTCGCCCTCCACTTTGTCTCAAATGCTTGCAGATTGGCCACTATAGGTCAAATTGCGCCAATACGCCTAAAGTTCAATCTGATACTTATTCTAAGATTCAGAAGAGTCTTTCAGATTCAAATCAAGAAGAACAGAAAAGAAAAGCGGAGGAAGAATTACAGATGATAGAAGAAGATAGAAGAAAGGACGAAGAAGAAGCCAAAAAGAAGAAAGATCAAGAAAGTATGGACGACAAGAACGATGATGGTGATGATGTTGTTGATGATGACGATGATGATGATACCGAGATGGATGAATCAGTCGACAAAAGTAGAGGGACAAAGAGAACCCAGGACCAAGAGGTAACGGATTCCTTTAGGAAGCATTTTCCTCCGTTGAAAACCCGAAGACCGGCTCAGGCCCCGCCTAGTGTCGAGCAGACAAATCGTTACGCCGTGCTTGACCTGGACTCGGACCCAGAAACACCTCTGGTGATCGACGAGTCCGGTGTTGAGCACGGTGTGCTAGGCGGGTCAGGAGGCGGTCTTAGTGTCTCCGGAGATTAGTTATGATTCTGATATATATTCCTTTCAAACTGCTTTTCATAATGGACCATGATTTAGAAAATCCCCTTTTACATTTCCGAAGTTATATATATATTTTTATATTGTTTTCTAATATGTACAAGTATACTTACCAATACTTACCTGTTATTTTTTTCCTGAATTCGCTGTTTTCCTATTTTATAATGTTTTCATTCTCCAACCTGAAAATAGATATAATTTTGATAAAATACTACTATAAAATATTTTTTCTTCTTAAATATGTACTAGTTTACAGTACACAGTTTTTTCAATACATTCCAATTTATAAACTGATTTTCATTATAATAAACCGTTATCTAGAACAAAATCATTTTTTCGCTCACAATTACTGTATGCTTAATAATAAATACACAGCAATGTTGTGTACATACTATACATTCCTTACATATACTTCAACATTTTTATTTGATATAATTTTCACTACCCGTCTAATTGTTATTTTAACAAAATTGCTTTCATTCCACTATCCTTGTAAATTCAGTCATGCAAAAATCGATTTATCATTTCACAGTTTTCGCGTTTTCCTATCCGATAATACTCCTTTTTTTTTATTCTTTTCTACATAAAAAATTCCCGTCTTCTGTTTTAAAACGTAAAAAACGAGGTGGGTAAATAAAATTTTCTGCGCTTTCTTCTTGACTGACACATTGATTTTTTCTTTAATTCCCCGAACTATCAATTATACGGGCTATTAACTTTGCCTTCTTTGTTTTTAAATTACTTTTTAATTTTCACCAGTTCCTTATGTTCCCTCTTCCCAATTTAAATTCCTCTTTCTCTTTTTTATTTTGAAAATCATTCAACATTTATTTCCCTTGTCTTATTTTTCTAATTATAGTTTACATGTATATTTTAAATCTATTATAATACACAATGACTGACTTAAATTTATACACCTTGAACATAAATGGATTAAGATCCAATGATAAAATTAATGATCTTAAAATGTTTCTTTCTTCTAGTAATATTGATGTTCTTTGTTTACAAGAAACCCATGTTGATAACCTTAATTTATCTAAATCTATTGAAAAGAAGTTAAACTTAGAAAATAAAATTCTATGGAGTTATGGTCAAAGCAACAGATGTGGTGTTGCAATTATTTTTGTGAATGCCGATATGAAACTTTATAGTTATCAAGCAGATTTTGACGGCAGATTTATTTATGCTGACTGTCAACTAAATGATAATAAATTTCGTATTTGTAATATTTATGCACCTGTTTCAGATACAGAACGTAATGAATTTTTTGAAACTATTTTTCCAAATTTTGTCACTTCTAACAACTTATTGCTTTTAGGAGATTATAATTTTATTTTCGATGCAAACATAGATAAAATAGGTGGTAATCTTGAACGTGGCACTTCTGGTTCTAAAATATTTTCACAAATCATTAGCAAATTTAAACTTATAGATTCTTTTCGTTCTATTCATCCTAATAAGAGATCAGTCACTTGGTGTAACAACAATAGAAATAATCCAATAGGTTGTAGACTAGATCGAATTTATATACCTCGTAATTTTAAAGATTTAATTTTAAAGTGTGATATTTTACCTTGTTGTTTTTCTGATCATGATTTTGTATTACTTAAACTTAAATTAAATGAAACAATAACGTTTGGCAAATCATATTGGAAATTAAATAACAGTATTTTAGATGATGAAACTTTTACAAAGAATTTCGAATTTTATTGGCAAATTATTTCAAGAACTGAATGTTATACTTTAGAGTGGTGGGACAAAATGAAATTATTAATTAAAGATTTTTGTATAGACTATAGTAAAAGTAAAAATAAAGAAACTTTTTCAGAAATAAATAAACTTAGATCTCGATATCAAAACACAACTGATTTACTCGAAAAAGAAGAGATTTTATCTAAACTTAAACTTTTAGAAAATAGGTATTCAAAAGGTCAAATTATTAGAAGTAAAACACAGTTAATTGATAGCAATGAAAATCCATCTAAATATTTTTGTAATTTCGAACAGTCAAAAGGTTCTGATAAAACAATTTTCGAAATTAATGATAATGACGAAATAAAAAGTTCATCATTAGATATTTTAGACAGTTTTCGTAATTTTTATAAAAATTTATATACAGAAGAACCTGTTAATTCAGACCTTTCCTCTCATTTTTTAAATAATTTACCACAAGTCAATTCATCTGATAATTTACTCCTAAGTAGTCCAATAAATAAATCTGAAATTTTAAATTCCCTTAAACAAATGGATTATACAAAATCTCCTGGTAGTGACGGTCTTTCTTCTTTATTTTACATTAAGTTTTTTCATTTATTTGGCGATGTTTTATTAAAAGTTTTTCAAATTTGTTATGAATCAGGTGAAATGTCTGCTTCCCAAAAGTTGTCTTATATTACGTTAATTTGTAAAGATAAAAATAATTCAAAATTAATGAAAAATTATCGTCCTATATCCCTCTTAAATATTGACCGTAAAATTTTATCCAAAATATTAACTAATAGGTTATCTAATGTCTTACCAAATATTATAGGTATATCTCAGACATGTTCTATAAAAGGTAGATCTATCTTTGATAATATACATTTACTTAGAAATATTTTTGATTATGTCGAACAAAAAAATTTAAAAGCATGTTTTATTAATTTGGATCAGGAAAAAGCGTTTGATAGGGTTTCGTGGGAATATTTATTTAATACGCTACATTCTTTCGGGTTTAACATTAATTTTATTAATTGGATTAAAGTTTTGTATAAAGATATTCAATCTAGTGTAATCATTAATCACCATATATCAGATCCTTTCTCACTTTCGCGTTCTGTCCGTCAAGGTTGTTCTCTTTCTCCTCTTTTATATGTTTTATGTTTAGAGCCATTTGCTAAAAAAGTTCAAGATAATCCAAATATTAAAGGTATAATAGTTCCAGGTGGTAAGTTCGAGGTCAAGATGTCATTATATGCAGACGATAATACAACTATTCTTACAGATAATTTGTCAATTAAAGAATTTTTTCGTGAAGTTAATTTATTTCAGCAAGTTTCAGGGTCAAAAATTAATTATAGGAAATCAAATGGTTTATATTTAGGTAAATGGAAAAATAGGTCTGATCATCCTTTTGGCATATCTTGGGTTCAAAATTGTAAATTATTAGGGTATTATTTTGGGTATAATATAGATCCAGATAAAATTTGGCATGATCGTTTTCTTAAATTTTCTAGAGTATTAAATCTTGTATCATCAAATTGTTTTTCGTTTAAAGGTAAAAGTACTATTCTAAATTCGTTAGCTTTTTCAAAATTTATTTATTATATTACGGCAGATATTATTCCTGAACACTATTTAATTTTGTTTCAAAGAGCATCTTTCAGATTTATATGGAATTCATCTTTTGAACCTATTTCGAGAAAAACATTATATCTTCCTTTTAAAAACGGCGGTTTGAACATTCCCAATATAAAATTAAGATGGTATTCTCTCCTTTTAAAACATTTACAAGATATTATTTCTAATCATTCTTCT